AAACATCAATAATAACAACGATAAATATTAATGTTAGTAACAGCAATGAAAAAACGATAATGAACTAATAATGAACTACGACATAAGATCACCGACGTAAAGGCACCGACGGAGAAAACCGATGTAACCAAACGCACTAACCTGAACTAAGCGAGATCAATCAAGATAAAAAAGAGAAAAACAAAAATAAACTCAGGGGTTTGAATCCTGAGGCGTCGGAATAACATTAATATTTATCGTTGTTATTATTGATGTTTTATACTAATCCATTTTACTCATTGCTGTTTTATCGTAGTTCACTTAACATTTAAGATCATGACGGTATTTTATTGCTGTTTTAGTTACTAACACTGTAGGGTTAGGAGTTCGAGTCTCTAACTGAGACCTCAGCCGTGAGACCACCCTATTACTAAATTATTTCTTTCGCTATACGGGTTTCGACAGCTGCCGAGCGCTAGGTCGCCAGGCGGGGGCCTGAGACCGATGCCCACAAGGGGTTCCTTTGCGGCGGGAGTGTCGCGTACCGCAAAGACCGCTCCAAACGGAACCCTGGGCGCGCCGGCGCCTGCGAAGTACTGCAGACATGACCCACTACGATCTACCCGTGATCGTGCGGAAACGCACGGGCCGTTCGCAACGGCACCATCACGGCCTGTCCCGGTGTTCCCCGTCTGTCATCAAGGTTCTGCCCCTATCTCGTCGGTTCTGCAGACTCGCAGGGCGTTAGCCCTTAGAACTCTTATTCTGGATGTTATTCTTAGTTCAATCTATGTGGTCGATCGGCGGGTCGAGGGAAGCGACCCGACGTGAGTTAGTTTAATGAGTTACTAACATTACTTGTATTAAATCCTAGTTCATAATACATTAAGAGTAGTACAATCATAAATACTTAGTAGTGCACTTGTTAGTGTTGTGTAGCAATAAGGGTTAAGCCCTACACACTATCTACGTACTAGTCAAATGTACTAAGGTCGGTTTCACCGTGCTAGGGTCAGTCAACTGGCCGTTAGGATAATTAGTTCATTAGTAACTTAGTGGTCAGCGCGCGGTCACTAGGGGTTGACTGTTTGCACTATTGCCCCCACGTAGTTCAGCCGGGTTTCCTTACAAGTGGCACTCTAGCCCTGTCCTGGACCCACCGACTCGCAACACTCCACAAATTAATTCTAATTATCAATATTATTTACTACAAACATGACAATACAAAAAATGTTAATGCTTCTCAAAATGATCTCCTTTAGCCTTCACACAGTCCTTCAGACGTTCGACAAATGCTTCGCATGTGGCACGCAGGTACTGGTCATCGATTTCGTCCCAAGATTTTGAAAGCGCCGCCTTAAGAGAGTCCAAGTTTGGATGTCTGGTAGAACACGCTTTGCTCTCCAAGATGGACCACACAGAGTAATCCATCGGGTTTAGATCAGGAGAACTGGAGGGCCATTCGTCGTGTCTGATGAAGTCGGGCAGGCTGCTCGGCGCACCACTCCTGGACCATCTTTGCTTTGTGTGCTGGAGCAGAATCCTGCTGGAAGCACCAGTAGGCTTCTCCGAAATGGGAGTTGGCCCACGGCTTGAGAACTTCCTCCAGGATATTTTTAAACCTCCGCGTTGATTTTTACCAGCTTCAACGAAAACAATATCGAATACGTAGTCTTGCCCCGTAGAGGTGACTCCTCCCCAAACAAGAATGGACTGGGGGTGTTTCGCTCTTTCCTGGAGTCTTGCCTTGGTGGTAGCATCAGCAAGTGATCCTGC